TTTTCCTTCAACTCTTGGATAGCTCTGAACATTAGAGATTTGAATTCCCTATCAGGTAGTTCTACTGCTTTTTCTTCTACCGGAAAGTCATCTGGTGTTTTATTTTGGACACCTACTAGAACCATCCTGTCCTATTTTTTAATATGTTTTGAAATTGTCTGCTGTCTTCAGGACGTTCAGTAGTCATTTTCTTCATTTATTGATTGTAGATTTGTTTTGTCCTGCTTTTTTGTTTTATTTGGTTATGTCTGAGCAGGTGGACTGTGCACTCTTTGTTGTTTGCTCGTCTGTGGGCACGATAGTTTTCACCTCCTTGTCCAATGGGCAGGGCCAGTCACTCAGCTATGGTGCAGCAGGGCAGGTTCAGCTGAAGGGGAGGGGCTGACAGGGTGGGCTGGGAATCAGGGCAAAGCAAGTTCTGGTAGGCCATGCCTGTGCTGCTTGGGGGTGTGATGTTCAGTGCACAGTGCAGGTAGGCAGGAAGGAGGCGGGAGATTGTGATATGTGGAGCTAAGATAGGTATGGGAAAGAGGAGAGAAGAAACAGGAGCCAAAAACAAACAAAAAAGAGCACTAAGGGAGCTTGCCCTTGGAATGGAGAGATGAGAAACCGAGAAATGGAGAAAAACAAAAAGGAAAATAAATAAATAAATAAAAATTAGGAAAAAAAGCAAAGCAAAGCCCCCAGGGATCCCAAAGGTGCGGCTGTGAAGACCAGGAAAGCAGCTCCAAGGCCACGAAGTACAGCCTGGCTAGAAGGGGTAGAGATGTCACACAGCACCAGGTACTCGAGAGACAGGAAAAGAAGGCAAGTATAGAGAAACGAGAAACGGAGAAATGAAGAAAGACAAAAAGGAAAAAAGAAAAAAGAAATGCCCCTAGGGATTCCACTGGCGTGGCTGCACAGACTGGAGAAGTGACTCCCAAGATGCTCAGTACAGCCAAGCTAGAAGGGGTTCCCAAGCTGCAAAAAGAAAGAGAAAACAAACAAAACAAAAAAAAAGCCCTGAGGATCCCACCAGCATGGCATCGCGGGCTGGGAAAGCAGTTCCCCAGTCAAGCAGCACTTCACAACCTTTCAAGAAAAAGCAAAGATAGCACATGGAGCCAGGTGTTTGAGAGAAAGGAGGGGGAGGTGGTGAGAGGCACGGAAGAAACCAAAAGAAACAGAAAAAAGCAACACCAGCAACCCCAGGGAGCCGGCCAGTGTGGGCGGGGTGAACCCAAGCAGCGAGGGGCCAAAGCCAGTGTCTCCCGGCCAAGAGACTGCAGCAGGCAGGAAGCAGAGGAGGCCGAGTGGCGGGGAATAAGGGTGGGGGGTGGGAAAGCATATATCGCTGGTTACTGGGTGCTCTGTCTCCTGCTGGGAGCTCTGTGAAACTGCTTTCCCGTACTCTCTGTCCATTGATCTCTGACAGGAGTTCGAGATGGTGAATCCACACTGCATTAGCTGATAGGGACCTCCACACATCTCTCTCCTCGCTCTCTGTTCTCTGTCAGTTTCTTATTCCATTTGGTGCTTGGCTGAGTTCTTTATCTCTTCATTTGATGCTTAGGGTTCCATGATTGACATCTGTCTCTTACTTAGTTTTTCAGGTCTTTGCTATGAGGGACAGCGTGGTGCTTCTGTCTATAGCGCCATGTTGCTTGGCCCCTCTTGGCTGTAATCTTAATTGAAGCAGATTGCCAGGCTGTTTCTTCCACTGTACCACGGGGTGGGTTTGCACCACTCAGGGACTTTATTCTGTTATAGATGATCTCTATTTTTTTCCCTTGGTATAACAGCGTCATTTATCCAAAAAAAAAAAAAAATTTTTTAAACTAAATCAACACAAATGCCTTTCAATAGCTTATCCAAAAAAAAAAAAAAAAGTTTATTAATATTTATGCTTTTTCCTTTTTCCTTTCCTAAGAATAGGACAAGGACATAATCAGAATTGCCTGGAAGGCTTTTTCCAAAAAATGCGTGTCTCTCCCTCCCCCTTTCCGAATATTTGGCTACTCTCCTAACTCTCAACTGTTACTAATGGGAGTATATAGCGTCCCTTTGGTGCATAGGAGCCCTGGTGATGCAGTCATTAAGAGCTGGGCTGTAACCAAAAGGCAGCAGTTCAAATCCACTGGCTGCTCCTTGGAAACCCTATGGGGCAGTTCTACTCTGTCCTATAGGGTCAGTGTGAGTTGGAACTGATTTGATGGCAACAAGTTTGGTTGATGCACAAGAACAGAAAATGGTTCAGAAACGTTGTAAATATTTCTATTACCACATGCCAGTGTTTCTCCAGCTGGTGGTTTTTAAATCTATACTCAACAAAACAAATCATGTCCAAATGTCAAAAATTTAAATCAAGAAAAGATGTGGAAAACAAAGTAGATGGCTGGTCTGAGGAAAGTTTTTGGTAACAGACAGACAGCAGAAAAGAGATCTAGCTTATTTATATCCTTCACTTTCTGGTTCATCTTTTGCTGGAAGAATTTCTCTAAATAATTTTCCATTGAAAGTGTTTTCAAACGAGCTTGTTGATGAAAAGTCTTTTGGAGTAACACACTTCTTCCTGTCTCTCCCACTGGATGCAACGAAGAATCCTGAATGGAATCCACAGAGAAGCTATCTGAGGACTCTGAACAGTAAAGGTACCAGGCCCACTGGGGAACTCGAAGTACCACCACACTGGAAGTCAGTTTTCTGTTTTTGATTTTGTCTAATATCTCCTGGCCTAGACTCAGGAACAGCCTGAAACCTGAAACCTGGATCTGCACACGGGAACAAACATAAAGAACTTCAAGAGAAGCCCTCTCTTTCTGGTCTGAGGAGCAGGAGACAGGGGTCCCTACAGGGTGGGGGAAATTCCTCTGCTCATTGTCTCCTGTCCCACCTCCCAGGCATTCCTGTGGTGGCGGCCACAGCAGCCCAGCTGTGCAGGCACATAAAACTCCAAGCCAAGAGCATGGGGAATCCCCATTGCTCGCTTCTTGTTTTTCTTGGTTTCTCCTGCCCCAGGCCACAGGCAATATGTGGTTGCAGTGACAACCAATATGGCAGCGGAGGTGACTAAAACTCCAAGACAAGCGCATTATGGAAATTCTTGTTGCCTTTCTTCCTTCCTTTTTCTCCCTCCCCCACTGCTTTCCTTCTCTCTCAACCCGTTGACTAGGAACACTAAAGCCCCAGCTTTCTAGCCAGACGATCAGGATGGGGACCCTGAGACTCAGGAAGCATAGGGGAAGAAAGGAGCCCAGGAAAGTGATCCCATAAAGATCTGTAGGAACTCTTGTTCTCACCTCTGGGCTGCACATATGTAGATCTGACCCTGAACAACATCCCAAAGGCTTTGAGAACTGATCTCTGGGTGGACCATTACCCACACTGGCCAGTGGGTGGCACAAATGAGGGACAGATTCAAACAGCACCACAAAGGCTTTGAAAACCTAACTGACATCAGAACCACAGCCTATACAGAAGGTAGTTCGGAACTTGTGATCAGAACATATCCAAATTTATTGCCTGTTAAAACAAAAATATCAAAATTCTTCATAGGATTTAAACAAAATTCAGAGTCTCACACATAATATTCAAATTTTAGATATAATCTAAAATTAACCAACACATGAAAGACAAGGAAAGTCTTAATGACTTGCAAGGGAAAAGATAACAGACACCAACGCTAAGATGATATTGATGTTGGATTTACCAAACAAAGACTTTAAAGGAGTTACTGTGGTC